AATGTCTATCTGTGTTTCATTGATGACACAAAGACATTTGACTGTGTGGATCACAACAAATTGTGGCTAACCTTGAGGAGAATGTGAATCCCAGAACACTTGATTGTGCCTATCGAAACCTATACTTGGACCAGGAAGAGGTCCTTAGAACAAGAAACACTACATGGTTCAAAACCAGGAAGAGTGTGTCAAGGATGCATCCTGTCTCCATATCTTTTCAATTTATATGCAGAACAAATCATTCGGAAGCAGGGCTTTATGAGGAGGAATGTGGCATCAAGATTGGAGCAAGATTCAATAAGAACCTACCTTATGCAGATGATACAACCTTGCATGCTGAAACTGAAGAAGACCTGAAGTGCTTGCTGCAAAAAGTCAAGGCCTGTAGTCTTTAATATGAACTGAAGCTCAACATCAAGAAGACAAAGATTCTCACCAATGGGCCAATTGGCAGCACCATGATAGAAGAAGAGATTGAGGCTGTTAACAATCATAGCTTGCTCAGCTCCACAATCAACATTCTCAACACCATCAGTCAGGACATTAAAAGATTAATTGCATTGGGAAAATCTAGTATCAGAAACCTCTCCAGAGAACTGAAAAGGAACAATGTCAGTCTAGAGACTAAGGTGTGCCAAATCAAGACCATGGTCTTTGCAATTACTTGCTATGCATCAGAGAGCTGGACAATGACTAAGGATGACAGAAGAATTGATGCCTTCAAATTGTGGTGCAGGAGAAGAGTCTTGAACATACCATAAACTGCCAAGAAAACAAACAGGTCTGTTTTGGAAAGGGTGAAACCAAGTTTTTCCTTGAAGGTTAAGATTTTGAGACCCCTTCTCACATACTTTGGGCACATGGCCAGGAGAGACCGGTTCTTGGAGAAGGACATAATGCTCAGAAGGGTGGAAGAACAGGGCAGAAGAGGAAGACCCTGGATGAGATGTATTGATACAGTAACTGGAGTAATGGTGTTGGTGTGTCAGAGTCAGTGAGACTGACTCAGGACAAGTCAAGCTTCAGAGCTATTCTACATAGGGTTGCTATGAGCTGTAGACAACCCATTGGCACATAACATCAACATTTTAAAATATTCAAACATAAAAGGCTTTCTGTTTCTGATGTTTTTTTCTGTTTTCAAATTTCTAGCACTACTAAATTATGTCTACTCTTAAAAAATTCATTATTGTTTTGTGGAATAACAGGTTCAATGCTTGTAAATATTTAATAGCCACTTGAAAAGAAAGCATACTCTATAGTCAGAGCATAACATTATAAATGTAGCTCTTTAGAACTTCCTAGTTAATTATATTGATTATCATTTATATATTCTGTTTTATACTTTGTTCACTTGATCTATCATGACCTAGAGGTAAATGAAAATTTCTCATTATTGTATTGTTATTTCTCTTTAATCCGTATTCATGAATATGGATGCACTAATACTTAATGTGTACATACTCATAATTATTTTATCTCCATTGTGAATTGTATCCTTTGGCAATAAAAAGCCAATTCATCATTTCATTTAATTCTTTTTGGCCTCAATTCCAATTTGGTTTTAAGAAATCATACTATCGTCAGTTTCATACCTTTAGTGACATATTTTTCAAGCCTTTTGAACATGGGGAACCAACTTTTCATTCTGCACTGGGTAGTACAAATTATGCAGCTGGTCTAGAGTAGGTTTAAAGAGTTGTTAAGGGCACCCCCCTCAGACTTGAAGAGTTTTGGGGAGCACCGTACTCTACCATTGACCTTCTACCAAAAAGCATGTAGAACCATGGTCAAAATCAAGGGCCACCAGATGATCTCTCAAGTGCGCACAGACCTTCTAGGCTCTCCAAGACCTACTCCTCCTAATCCAGTCAATTGACCTGCTACTTCATCTTGTCACAAAGGAGACTGGAGAACATAGCACAAAGGGAAACAACATCAACTTTCAGTGAATATCTGTTTTAAAACTTTGGACTTCTTTCCAAACACATGAAAACTTCTAAAGGAGTCACTTTGGAAACTAAGAGAATATTATCATTAGAATTAGCTGGAAGCAAATATTCTCCTGGGTGGTCAACCTGGCTGCAAAACTTTTTAATGACTTTCATGGGGGAAATTTCTCTAGTAACCATAATAAACATAACACAAGGGAAATAAAATGTCCATTGCAAGATTTCCAAAGGGAGACATAAAATTTAGGCAGAAAACTCATTCTGTCATCTATTTAGTATGTTGTGTGCTGAATGCTTTTAGACTAGCTCTCAAAATAAATACACATGTGTTGTGATCACATTTTTTAAAAAATAAACCATATCACTACCAACAAATCTTTAAAAAAAAAAAAAAAGAGGGACAAAA